GTGCGGACGCCGGTGGACGGTGGGTGTGGCGTCGACCCTGGGAATCAGAGCATGTTCCCGAAAGTGGATTTACCCACTTTTATCTTTTTAATAAATGCCACTACGTTGCCTTGTAGAGTGGTTACACCGATTCCCATTTCCAGCCCCTTCCTCAGTCTCCCACAGCCGCATCCACACCGCCTGGTTTTCACCCCTTCCGACCCGGAAGGGAAACGCACCCCTCTCCGGCCGCCACAGCCCCGTTCCCCCCAGGCCGGCCCGCCCAGGCCTCGGGGGGCCTGCACACAGCGGCCTGACCCGGGGGGGCAGCAGCGCGCTGGCTGGCGGCCCTCTCCGCACAGCCGCTCCGGTGATGAATGAAGACGCTCGGCCCGTAGAGCTGTCAGCTGACTATCACACTCACTTTAAAATTTTAGAGATTAAAAGGGAGAAAGAAAAGGTAAATCGATGTAATGGATTGCCCGTGCTGTTAGCTCTCCCGGTTCGGCACACTGTTACAGCATCTCCTCACTGGGCCTTTCCTCCCCTGAGCGTCCGTGTAAGGGCGCGGAGAACTGGTAGACCCCGGGGGACAGGGAACCCCGCCGTGACCCCTGGAGCCGTGTCGCCACCGAAGGAACAGAGCGAAGGTGGTCAGAGATAAAGTGTTGGCCTTCCTTTGAGTTACGTGTTAGGAGGAGGTGACTGTATCGCACAGCACACACACACGGAGCCTCCCCTCCGCCTCCTTCCAGCCCACAGCTCCCCAGACGTGGCCCTGCGGGCCATTAGGCTGGAGCAGGCAGCGGCCCCCGTGTAGGTGACCTTGCAGTTGACTCCCGCGGAGCTCTGGGCTGGTTCCGTGGTGACTTCCTCTCCAGTGCCGCCTCCTTCGCTCCACCTAAGAGCCCTGTGAGTTACAGGTACCGTCTCGATCCTCTTTCTGCAGATAAGGACACTGGCTGTCACAGCATAGTAATCCGCTCAGACACCCGGCAGTCAGACGTAGGACTTGAAGCCCAGGTGCGCAGTGCGCTGGTTCATCGCGCGTGCTTACGAATGACGTTTGTCGTCAGAATATTCTGGGGTTGCTCAGTTCCCCTGAGGAGGCCTGTGACTCCGTAGGTGTCCTCGGAAGAGAGAGAGTCAGAAGGAAAAAGGTTTTATTTTAAAACAGACTTGAAAATAGGAGACTTTGCATCTTTATATAAACTTCCCTCTCCGACTCTAGATCTTGAGAGTTGTCTACTGCTAAGTGCTGGAAGCTAACCAAAAACCAAACACACAGAAAAGGCTTCTCCAGAGCCCAAGCAGCTCACATACGCTAATAATGAGGAAAAAGTTTTTAAAGAGCCAGATTATCTGCATCCGGCGTCCTCTGTGCTTCCTTCCCAGCTCATCCCCCTTCCATTTAGCAGCTCTGTCCTGCTGCGCGGCGTGAGCAGGAGTAGGAATGGCAGCGCCTGCCGTTGGGCCTCCTGCCCCCCACCATTGGCTCCCCACCCAGGCTCCCCACCCAGGCTCCCCGCCCAGTCCGCGGCGTCTGTTCCCAGGCCCCAGCATTTGACCTCGCCATCCGTCTGACCCGGGTCTAGCGTTAGGATGTAACCGCACCTCATTCCCCCGGCCCCCACTCCTGGCAGATGGAGTCAGTGGGAAACACGTACAGCTTTTCCTTCTGACTCTAAACTCCCAAAGTTCCTTTTATTTCATTAAGGAAAGTATCATTTCCTTCTGTGCCGCAACAACAGTACCAAAGTGGTGACTGTTACTGGCTTCCGTGGCTGCCAGGCTGGCCATGCCTGCATCTCCCAGCTGCCCACCGGTGTAATGCAGGCCTCCTCTTGGTGGTGGGGGCGGGGGCGGGGGCTGGGGAGGAAGGAGAGGGCGTTTTCCAGGCGTGGGGTGGAGCAGGGTGGCCCGGAGGGCTGACCTATCTGCAGAGGACCATCAGGATCAGACCCAGGCCAGTCACTGTTGTTTGCAGTAGTGAGAGTCCACCGCTGAATTTTCAGCTGTTTGAGGGCAGGACCTCCGATTTCAGTAAGTATTGTTGGAAAAAGCTGAGTTGGAATCAATAAATGACAACTTGGCCAAAGCTTCTCTTCTGTAGTCTTTTTTTTTTTTTTCATTACAATCACTGGGTGACACTGGTTAATAAAATTAGACAGATGTCAAGTGTACAGTGCTGTAACACATCATCTGTGTATCGTGTTGTGTATCTGCTACCCAGAGTCACCGTGTACTTGACCCTCTTTACCCTCATCCCCTCCCCTCATTCCCCCCCCGCTCCCTTGCTCTCTGGTGCTCACCACACTGTCGTCTGTGTCTCGGAGTTTCCGTTTGTCTGTCGCGTCTGTTCACTGACCTCCACAGTCTCTCATAGCCCCCAGGGAGCGCCACCCAGGCACCTGAACACAACGAGATGAGCGTGTCCTGCTTTAAGAGTGTCGCTCATTCCGCTGTGGCAGTCACGATGACACGTGCCGTTCACTGCCTTCAACACAGACGGGTCTGGAACAGTCCAAAAGGCGTGCGTGCCCAACCGCACCTTCAACGTAGAGGTGCAGGTTGCGGTTCTGGATAATGAGTCCTCCTCGCCGATAGGTTATCCGGCCCTTTACAATCAGGTTTTCCCCGTCAGGGCCCTTGGCCCGCCTGGTCCATCTTTCGCTGAAGAATACAGGACCATTACTTCCCCCAGAAGAACGTGAGCACGCAAAGGTCCCAAAAGATGACCTGGTTTTCTCCCCGTGGTCCTGGCCGCCCCAGCAAACCACCATGGTATGTAACAACCACCATCGCCCCTCCCCCGCTCCCGCCACTTACTCTGCCTCTTCCCATCCCGTGTGAACAGCACTTTCTTTCCTGAGGCAGGCGGGGGAGGAAGGGCCTACCTTGGCTTATGTTGAGTGTGAGGCAAAGGTAGAAAGGCAGCCGCTGACAGCTGCCCTGTCCTGCCATACCTGTCCTGCTTTCTCAGGGGTACCTCCATACCTGTGCTTTACCTGGAAAACACTCCTGCCCCTCCACGTTCACCCGGGAAGCGGCAGTTGATCCTTGAGAAGTAACCCGCTGCCCTCCTGCCCAAGCAGAGGCAGCCCCTGCTGTCCCCATAGCGCCCGGACAGGCCTCTCGGACAGTGTTTGTCGCCTGGTGTGCACCTCTGTGTTTACACATCTATTGGTACCCCGTCAGAGCAGAGGTTTTATTCCATTGGTTTGTTCGGCCCGGCACCGCACACGCAGTGACTGTTGAGTTAGCGCCGTCGTATTGCGTCGAATCCGTGCGGCACTCGCTGGGTGCTGGTAGGTGAGTTAAGGTGGGGGCATGAGAGAGGGTGTAGAATTGGGTGTGGGGTCAGCTCCAAGGCCTGCTCCAGCCTCCAGGACAGTGGTTGTACAGTCAGATGTATACACTATAAGCGGAGCTACATGGGCTTCTGAGGATGCACAGAAGAAAACCTTTACAGGGACGTGTTTCACTCGGACAGATCGAGGGCATTTTAGGATCTGCTAGGAGTGTTGGCCCTTCCTAACCTCTTAGACCCCTAACGTGTGGCTACCATGGCAAACATACCCATCAGGGATCAAGCAGGGAAACAAGCGCCATGACACGACACGAGTAGAACAGGGAAGTTAGGAACTAGACCTTGTGTAATCCTGGGCAAAGACGGGGACTGGATCCAGCCGGGGGAGTCGGACAGTCAGGAGAGACGCCACCGACCAGCCCTCCTGAAACAGGGGCGTGGGTGGGCAAGTGGGAGCAGCGGGGAAAGCTAGAAGCTGCGCTCACCCAGCTGCCAGGTGGCACCTCGGAGGAGAGGTGTGACTCGGGGACCGGCGCAGGGGCGTGCAAGGCTGAGAGACCGTCGCCTCTGCAGCGCTGCCGCCCTGTGAGCGTGCTGCCAAGGACTTGGCAGTGAGCTGGGGACCAGCGGTCAGCACAGCTGGTAGTTCCGGTCACAGAGCGGAGAAGAGCAAGGACCAGCTGAAACCCACGGGCAGTTCTGCAGCTTACTCTCACTGTGTCTAATCGGAGTGGCCGTAAGAAGACCATGGCGGCTGCTTCCCTTCCACCTCCCAGATCTCGCACAGATTTCTGTTTGCCCAGCTCTTGCCAACAGTCGTACAGGGAAATGCATTCTGGGAAACTGAATTCTTATTTAGCCAAGTCGACGCAGTACAAAACCACAACAATGCCCCTCTAAATTTTGTAAATTGAATTTTGCTTCAATTTTAGAAGCGGCACTTACTTGAACAGGAAAAAGCAGAGGAAAGAAACATGCACAACTTTATATCTTTTGAAAAAGCATTCTTGGGTTTCGCCTAGTAACATACCTAGTAAAAATTTTAAGGTGATTATATAAACATTTCTTTGTCTTTTGATGGTCAGCATAGAATTTAAGTACAGTTTTTAAAGCAGTCATCTGAAAAAGGATCTAAGGAGAAAAAGGAAGTAACATTTATTGCGTGCTGTGCCCAGAACTTCTTATGTGTCTTATTTCATTTAATTCACACACCAAACCTGTGAGGCCCCTAAAAGTGAAGTGTCTCAAGATCAAGTTTATATAAAAAAAAAAGGTTGAAAATTCACTGCAGAATTCAGAGTAATTTATATCTCTCAGTCTAGGTTATCTTTTTCCCTTGACTTAGCTGGTTATTTAGTCCCACTTTTCCTTAACATCTTACTGGAGAATGGATAACGCACATATTAAAGTACATAAGGGGAACTAATCCTGAATAAAACTCAGTGGATTTTTCTGTATCTAGGTATGCATCCGGATAAAAATATAAAATATTTTCTAATGCCCTTGATTGGTTTTCCTTGGGCCGTTCGTACTTCCCAGGTAAACTGCCTTAGACAGTTCCATTTTCAGTGCGCGAATGGCGTCATTCTCGGAGCAGTGGCAGGGAACACAAAAGCAGGAAAGTAAAAACGTCAAACAGTGTGTGCCTCCTAACTGCTTGGAACTGTGTCTCCTCATAGCCCGTCCTCTTTCTGCTCTTCCCCCGAAACAGGTAATCAGATCCTGTCCCTCGGGAGCCTCTCAAAAGATCAGATGTATCCAATGAAGCTCAAGGGCATCTCCATCTGCTATTCCGCTCTCAAGTCTGCCTTGTGCGGGAATTATGTCAGCTTTGGCGTCTTCAAGCTGTACGGGGACAACCATTTTGACAATGTACTCCAGGCCTTCGTCAAGATGCTGCTGTCGGTGTCCCACAGCGACCTGCTAGTAAGCGCCCGTGCGTCCTGGGGGCCTTCTCGCGGAACGTGACGCGCCGCCACCACGGGCTTGGAGCCGCGGCAACGCAGCCCAGGGGGTTGGAGTCGCGCCGCGACACTTCGCGTGTTAGAGCGGCATCTCCACTGAACTCAGAGACTCTGAGCCACCGCGGTGGCCGTATTGATAGAATTAAATGTGCCATTCTGAAAACCGCGGCCGCCACCTCTGACAAATCAGTCACCCAGAGTGCTCCAGGCCCTGCACCTGGAGAAGGTGTCGTCAGCAGTTTCAGCCCGTGGCTCGCAGCTCCGCCTCCAGTGCAGCAGAGGTGTGTGCTGCCCACGGCGGAGAGTGCGGGGCGGGCTGCAGGACCTCCTGCCGCAGGTCAGCTCTGTCCCGTCCCCCACTCTGTCCGCGCTCCCCGCTGCTGGTCTGGGGCACGGGGTGCTGACCTGGAAGTGGAGCAGCCCAGCGCGTGCCCTCAGCCCCGCCACTCACCGGTCCTGGACCACGAATCAGTCCCCGTCTCTGGCTCTCCAGGCCTGCATTTTCCCACCTGTAAAGTGACTGAATTAAACACGGTGATCTCTAGGTCCCTTTCGTACTCTGCCACCTACTTCCTGTGATTTATGTCTGTCGTCCTCAGACTCAGAGGCCCATCGGGGTCACCTGGGGCGCTTGTTGAAAAGTCAAATTCCCAGGCTCTTCCCCGGATCTGTTTCATTATCAGACTTTTTTTTTTTAACATCTCTGCCTGATGACACAAAAGCTAAACCATGCCCAGTGTGGTTCCAATAATTACTCCAGTAACACAGCCAAGTTCATGCTCGGCCTTAGTTCAGGCTTCCCGCCTGCTCCCAACCCAGGGCTACAAGTAAGCTCCGGCGGCCTTCATTAGTGTACCTGTGTGGGCAGTGCCCCTGGATGGCCTCGTGGGCCCGTGGTGCCCTCTTCCACCTTTCTGAGCTGGTCTTAGCAGAACCACATCTCGAGGCAGAGTGGGTAAGCCTCTTTGCGGTAGAATGGAATGCGTGTTGAAGGCTGCCCAGGTGACAGAAATTACCAAGTAGACACTTGAGTCGGGTGAGCCTTGCATTACAGCCAGCTCATGGAGGGGACCCTTCACTGCGGTTGAGGCCCGCCAGAAAAACTGGCGCGGTTCTAGGAATGTCTCTCGTCTTCTTTCTCACAGACCGGCAAGCTTCTAACTCAGTAGTTCTCAAAATCAGTTTTGAGGGTGCCTAAGACTCCTTAGTGTACATATTTAAAATGCCCATTTCTGGACTTCTTTCCAGAGCTTTTCATTCCGTGAGCCTGGAGTGGGGGTCAGAGAACTGCATTTTTAACGAGCACCTCATGCAGTTCTTACGGACATGGTCTTAATCTCACTCTCAGAAATTCTCGGCCTTATGTGTCTTCCGAGTATGCTTTCTTTTGCTACTGGTTCGAGTTTCCTTTCAGCTTTTCCAGGTGTCTCTCTCAGGCACTTACCCTTTGCCTGTAGTCTATGGTATATATCAAGCCATTTACTAAATTATGATTTCGTTAGGTGGGGTGGCATTGTGGAAATGCAGCAGACTGTCATGCCAAAGCCTGTTATACGAGCAAATTTCTTGGTGTTCAAAGGAAAAAACGAAAAGGTTTGCCAAGCCACTATTAGGCAGTATTGAGTGTTATACCATTCCAGTCCAGAAAAATAATTCAGTCTTCTGAATTCCATACGACAGAGATTTTACTTGCGTGTGTGTGTTAGCCATGGAAGGTGAAACTGAAATGACACACTATGCCGGAACTTCAGATGAGGGTCTCTGGCCATCAAGAGATGCCCGTTAGAGCCCTTTCAGTGCTGAACTGAGAGTGGTCATGGCATCCGTTTCATATGTTTATGTTGTATTGCTTTTCTTTAAGTAAGTTTGTCATTTCCAATATTATAAATGGCAGTTTCCGCTGGACTGTCACATGTCTTTGGAGCTTCTGTGTGGCTTGACACTCAGTATCTCTGTGTTGCAGCAATACCGGAAGCTGAGCCAGGCGTACTACCCGCTCCTGGAGTGTCTCACCCAGGACCACATGAGCTTCATCACCGACCTGGAGCCTCCCGTGCTCCTGTACGTGCTCACCTCGGTCTCGGAGGGACTCACCACTCTGGGTAGGTGGCACGGGGAGCGTCGCTTCCACGGGGAACACTAGACTGTGCCCGTCGGTGTCCGCGCTCCCCGCGCTGGGCGTCCGTCGGACTGGCGGGCAGGGCACGTGCCCAGGCTGAAAGGCTGTAACGATTGCTTGCAAGTGCAAAAATGCTTCTTTTATATTCTGATACATGGTTTATTTTCTAATCAGCTTTACGAAGGTATGATTTACACACCCTGAAATGTATTCATTTTAAGCGAACCGTTCACGGAGCCCTGGCAAACGTATGTACACCGTAGGAAGCACCGCGGCCAAGGCAGAAACGTTGTCACCAGCACCACACACTCCCTCGCGCCGCAGTCCGATCGGTCCTCCCGTGTAGCCCCGGCCCCGAGGAACCGCGGTCCACCTTCTCTCCCTGTGGTTTGCCTTTTCCAGGAGCTCATGTCCGTGGGATCGTAGACTGTGTGATCCTCTGGGTCTGGCATCCTTCATTTTGCGTAATGCCTTTGTGATTCGTCCCCGTTTCATGAGCCAGCGAGTTCATCCCTGTCCATCACTGAGTGTCATTCCACTGCATAGATGACCGCCATTCTTTAGCTGTTCGCCAGCCGCTTAAAACTTGAGCTGTCTTCATTATTTAGTGACTTTGAGTAATGAACATTGAGGGACAAGTCTTTCTGCAGACAAATGTTATTTCTCTTAGGTAAACACTGCGACGTGGGATTTCTGGGTTGTGTGCCACCTGTGTTTTTAACATAAAAAAACTGCCAGACTGTTCCCCAAAGTCATCATCCCACTGGGCTCCCCCAGCAGTGTCTGCGCGCTCCAGGCACCCGACGGTAGCACTGTTGGTTAGTACCAGCCTTTCCGTCCTGGCCATCCCAGTAGGTGTGAAGTGGAATCTCACTGTGGTTCGAATTCACAGTTCACTCATGATTAATGATTTGAGCATCTTTTCATGCTTGTTTGCTATGCATGTGTCTTCTTGGTGAAGAGTTTGTTTAAATCTTTAACCCATTTCTTAAATTGGATTGTTTATTTTTTTATTCCAGGTACAAATCCTTTATCAAATATATTTTTGACAGTTATTTTTTCAGCCCTTGGCTTGTCTTTTTATTTTCGTAACAATATCTTCTGAAGAGCAGACGCTTTTAATCTTAAGGAAATCCAATTTTTTTTTCTCTTATGGTTCATGTCTTTTGGGTCCCATCCTAAGACATTTTTGCTTACCCCAAGGCCATACAGATATTTTTCCTCTGTTTTTTTTCTCTAGAAGTTTTATAGTTTTAGCTCTTACTTTTAGGTCTACAAGCCATTTCATTAACTTTTTGAATATAGTATTATGAGATTAAAGTTAAGGTATTTTTAACATATGGATATTCAATTGTCCTAGCAACTTCTGTTGAAAAATTCCCTTTATCTTTTGGATTACTGTGTACCAGTCCTGTACTGTCCTGATATCATAGTCAGCCTTGAAATCGAATAGTACAGCCCTCTATTTTTTTTTTCTCTTTTAAAATTGTCATGGCTGTTCTGGGTCCCTGGCTTTTTTAATATAAATTTTTAGAGTCAATTTGCTCATTTCTCTTGTTAGAAAAAAGAATAAATAGGGGAATTTTGGTCAGGCTTTGCATTGAATTTCTAACCCAATTTGGAGAGAATTGATATATTAGCACTATTGAGTGTTCAGTTTCTGAAACGGCATATTTGTGCATTTAGATCTCCCTTAATTGTTATAAATAGCATTTTTGTAGTTTTAAATGTATGGGTCTTGTACATATTTTGTTGTATTTATAAGTGAGTATTTTATGTTTTTATGCTATTGTAAATGGTACTGAGTTTCAGTATTTTATTATATTGTTCTTTGCTGCCATGTAGAATTGCAGTTGATATTTGGATGTCAACCTTGTATCGTGTGACTCTGCTAAACTCGCTTATTAATTCCGGTAGCATTTTGTAGATTATTTTACAAAAATAGGTTTGTAGGTTTTTCTACGTAGATGTATCTGCAAACAAAGACAGTGTTACCTCCTTTTTCCCAATCTCTGTGGCTTTTTGCCTCCGCTTATCCCACCGGCTAGGATCCACAGTGCAGTTCTGAATATGGGGTGATGGCGAACACCCTTCTCCTGTCTCCAGGGTCACGGATGACACGCGCATCCTTTCCTCACTCGGTCTAATGTTGGCTCTGGGGTTCCCATGGATGCTCTTCGTCTTGTTGAGGACATTCCCCTCTGTTGCAGTTTTCCCAGAGTGTCACCATGAATGGGTGTTGAATCTGATCAAAAGCATCTATTTCTGCATCTGTTGAGACGATTGTATCGTTTTTTTTTGAGGGGAGAGGTGTGATAATACACGATATAATGTTAATCATCACTGATGCACATTTGGATGTTAAACCAACCTTGCATTCCACACTTGGTTACAAGATATTACCTTTTTTAGAGAGTACTGTATTCAACTTTCTAAAATGTTGCAACAGGTTTTAGTTCTTTCATACTTTTCTGTTCTCCTCATATCTTTGCCTTGTTTTTAGTGTCAGGGAAGGGCCCTCATAAAATGAGTCGGGAAATGCTGCCCTCTTCCATTCTCTTCAGATCGTGTGTAGAATTGTTGTTAGTTCTTCATTTATTGTTTCACACAATCCTCTAGGGAAACCTTAGGCCTAGATTTCTCTTTTGTTAGGGGGTGTTTAACTACAAATTAAATATCTTTCACGGTATAGGGTTGTTAAAGTTATCTGTTACATCTTGAGTAGCATTTAGTAGTTTGTGTCTTGAAAAGAACTTGTCCACCTTTTTATCTGAAGTTAACCTGACATCTTGGACCTAAAGTTGTCCATAATGTACCCTTTTACACAGTTTGTTTCCTTGGGGTCTGTAGTGACGTCCCCCTCTTGTCCCTGGCATTGGCAGTCTGTGTCTCCTCTCTTTTTTTCTTGGTTGTCCCGGCCCCGGGTTCATCGGCTGTGTTGCAGAGAACCAGCTTTCAGTTTTCATGGATGTTTCTCTGGTGTTCCATCTTTATTTCATTGATCTGAAATATAATCTTTATTATTTCCGTCTTTCAATTTACTCTGCTTTTCCCAATCTGGTTTTGTCAGGTAGAAGCTTAGATCACTCCTTTTAGACCTTCCTGCTTTTCTGAGATACCTGTTTATTTAATGCTGTAATGTAAACACTGCTGTAGCCATACCTCACAACATTTTTATATTGATACTTTTTTCCATTAGGTTAAAAATCCATTTTCTAACTACCCTGCTGATTTCTTTTACCAATGGGTTGTTACTTAGGAACACATTGTTCAATTTCCAAATATTCAGAGATGTTCCTAATACCTTTCTGTTACTGATCCTAGTTTCATTCCAGGTGGGCATAGAATATGCTCAATGATTGTTGTAACTTTTATATTCATCGAGTCTTTGTTATAGTCCCAGACACAGCGCGTGTTCATGGGCACCTGCATGGGTGTCCCGCTGCTGCTGGAAGGGCATCTGTTTCAGTGTCAGTTCCGACCGACTGACAACGTTCAGGGTTTGTTCTGTACTCGCTGGTTTCTTGTGTGTTTGCTTTCTGCTTGTTGTATGAATTATTGCGAGAGATGGGCTAAAGTCTCCAACTTTACCTATAGATTTGTCCACTTGTCCTTTCAGTTCTGTTGATCTTGATATAAAGCATTTTGAAGCTGTATTATTAAGCATATAAATACTTAGGATTGTTACATCCCCTTGATGAATTCACCCTGTTGTTATTATGAGAGGACCCTCTTTATCTATCCCTGGAACATTCTTCCCTCCGAAATCTACAATACTTCAATACTACTGACCCCTTCAGCTTTCTTTTGAGTACTGTTATCCTGTCTCTCTCTTTTTTTAAGATTTTATTTATTTATTTTTAGAGAGGGAAGGGAGGGAGAAAGAGAGAGAGAGAGAAACATCAATGTGCGGTTGCTGGGGTTATGGCCTGCAACCCAGGCATGTGCCCTAACTGGGAATCGAACCTGCGACACTTTGGTTCACAGCCCGCGCTCAATCCACTGAGCTATGCCAACCAGGACTTTCCTCTATTTTTTTAAATCATTTTGCTTTTAATCTGGGTCTTTATATTTAAAGTTGGTTTCTTGTAGATAGCAAGTATTGGGTTGTCCAAAAAGTTTGTTTGGTTTATTCTGTAAGATGGCTTTAGTAGCACTTAGTTGTCTTTAACTTCATTTGAAACAATTTCATTAGATTATATTGTGACGGTTGTCATATCAGCGAGTTTTTAAAAAAAAAACATCAAAATCGGTGAATTTTTGTGTAGCCTTTTTCGTACTGAAGATAGAAGAAAATGCACAATTTTGGCATATTATTTCAAGCAAGATAAAAACACAAATGAAATGCAAAAACAAGTTTCGTACAGTGTATTGAAAGGTGCTGTGACTGATCGAACGTGTCACAGGTGGTTTGCAAAGTTTCGCGCTGGAGAGTTCTCGCTGGACCGTGCTCCACGGTCGGGTAGACCAGTTGAAATTCATAGTGGTCACATCGAGGCAGTGAGAGCAACCCACGTTCTACCGCGCAGGAGACAGCCGACATACTCAAAATGTCCAAATCAATACAGTTGCCGGTGAAAATGAAAAATGTGCCTTATTTTGCAGAAAAAAACTAAACAGACACTTTCGCCAGCCCAATATTTTATATCGCTGTTGTAACAACTTTCTGTAAATCTGGCGGCTTAAAACCATGGAAATGTGTTATCTTATCGTGCTTTAGGTCATAATTCTGATGAGGGTCTCGCACCGCGGTGCCAGCAGAGCCGCGTCTCTTTCTAGAGGGTCATGCATTTTCCCGCCCCTTCCTGCTCCCGGAGACCAGCTGCATTCCTCAGCTCCGGCCCGCCTCCTGCCTTCTGGGCCAGCAGCATCCGATCTCCGGGACCCGTCTTCCCTCAGTGTGTCTCTCTTTCCTGTTTAAGGTCTTGGGGATTATGTCAGTCCTACCCACACAATCCAGGGTTATCTCCCTAGTTTTAGTCC